CCTCCTATTTTAACCCCTACTCCCATACCCATCTTCCTGAGCTCCTCCTCTGGCCCCTCCAACCACTCCATGCCTGCATTGGCCACTTTCAAACATCAGGCTTTAAAAAAGACAAAAAGCCTTGTGCTGGTTTTCCAAAATGGACTTGTTTTGCCTACTGCCTCTGCAGAAGTTACCAGACTTGCATAGACTGAGCAAGGCATGGTGATCTAGGTTCTGTGATCCCAGAACCCAGGAGGCTGAGGCAGAAGGATCACTGTGATTATGAGGAGGGCTTGGGGAAATAGTGAGTTCAAAGCCAGCCTGAACTACATACTGAGACCCTGGCTCAAAAAAAAAAAAAAAAACCCAGCAAAACAACACACAGAATGCGAAATGAGCTCATGTAGGGAAGCAGTCTAAGCTACAGTGTTACCCAGAGCTGTGGGAGATGGAAGGGGAGCACAGTTTTGTACAATATCCACATACGGTTTTGGCACATGCCTCTTCCATTTTTAAAAGGAGACAGACTATAAATAAATATTTGAACTCTCCATGTATCTGGGAAAAAGTAATTCTCTAGGCTTTTCACAAAAGTTGCAAAGTCCAACTTCAGTTCATTTTTAATGACTTTCCTCTGAAGCTCCACGTTCTCCAGCTCTGTCTCCTGGTACCGGACGGTTAATTCTGGCATGTGAGCCAGCAGATATTTTTATTTCCATAACCATTTTATGAGAATTCAGAACAATGATCTTAGAAAGAAAACATCAAGATTTTATCTCCATTCCACTGGGACTTCTGCCTGATTCTTTTTCACTGAGTTTTTAGGAGGGTTTTTTTTCTGGGTGAATCTGCGGCACTCAGCGTTCCTTTCTGCAGGGTCCTCTAACTCCTTAGCTTCTGAGACCAGGGACACCAGAAGCCGTGCTGCTTTGGCTGGCTTTGCACTAACACAAGACCTGAGCAGCTATACGTAATATTAGGGGGCATGATGTGAAATCACTCTTGTTATATAGGTCAAATAAGGCCAAAAAAGGGCGATTTCCTAAGGTGTATGTTAATAGCAGGTTTCAGTGATGTTAATCAGAGCACTTAGTTAAGAAAAACCAACTCAAATTTTTTAGCCTCTTTTGGAAAGATGTTGTATTTCTCAGATCCTGGCGGTCTCACTGTACATAAACTTAGCTGTAAAAAGAAAGTGATAGCCGTTAGAAGTGGCGTAAGTGAACCCTGTTGTATTTTCTGTGAGGTGACTAGATGGGTGTATGTCTGTGCACCTGTGTGTACAAGGGGGACTCTTAATTCATACCCACCCAGGTGGCAGCTTGAAGCCAGTGGCAACTTCCCCCTGAATCTGAAGGGGAAATGTATAGAAACGTGTGTCCCCTGCCATCACGAGCAGTCAGTGTCCTAGAGAGGTTGTGACATTTGTTGCCATGCCAGTGAAGTTTTTAAAGTGTAAATGTAGTGGACACCGTGGACCTGCTTTAGTGTGCAAAAAGAGCTCATTCCTTCTCTTCACGTGACCTATCCGCTCCTCTGGCTCAGGACTGAAGGGTTTTCAGGTTCAGGCACCTCAGGCATCTGCCCTCCCCGGGATCGTGTGAAGGAGCCGTGGGCTCCTGTGATGTCCACACACTGCCAAGGCCCCCTAGTGTACCCTGGTGCTGCCCGCACCCCACTCCACCACACCCGTGACCCCTCCAGGCCAAAAGATCCACTGCCCTGTGCCACATGGGTGTTGCTAGGAACCTTGTTTGAGGGGTGCTGATAAAGTGCTGGGCATGGGGACCCCCTGGCCCTCGTTTCCACCTGCTGGGTCCTGCTTCTAGGACACCTAGCAGCGTCCCTGCAGTGACGGGCTTAGAAGGTAAGCATTCCTGACACAACAGCCAGGAAATGGCCAGGCCACCGGCTGGGAAGAGAAGTGGAGCACCAGATCCAGGTCATACATGCATTGTGTGTGACTGTATCATCTTGCCACAGGAAGTCACCAGTCAGTGGCAGCCAAAGTACTGACACGCACTCAGGCTGGGTCCAGCGTAGCAGTCACTGGCCACTGTGGCCATGTACATTTAATTAAAATTGCATATGATTAAAAACAAACTTCTTCGATCAACAGGTCACATCTCAAGCACTCAGTTGCCACATGTAGCCAGTGACTGCCAGGTGGGACAGCACAGCTAGAGAGACCCCAGCATGGAGCAAGAGTTCTGTACACAATGCTGGTCTGTCCTTAGCCCTGTGTGGTGCTGGTGCAGTTGAAGGTGGACCTGCTCTCCTTCCTTTTCTTACTAGGATTGGCCCCAGCTGTTTAGAAAGCAGCGTGATGTAGGTAAAGAGCCAGCAGGAAGTTTAGACTCCAGCAAGTCACACGAATTCTCCCAGATGGGTTGCTGCAGGAGGTGTGCTGGAGCCTTGCCTGGCTCCCTTTCACGTGGCCCCAGGAGTCTCCAAAGCACTGGAAAATCCACTGGGTCTACAAGTCCCTGTTCTTTAGGCTTTGTGGTTTAGCTCGGGGAGAGGAATCTTGGATTTATAGAAGCGCACACAGTATAGTTTTTGCTATGGCTTCAATTTATGTCCTCCAGGAAAGCACCAAGAAGCGGGCTCTGGGAGAGGGCCGGCTGGGCTGGCTCTGTTAGCTGTGATATTCATATTTAGCAGTGCACAGACAGTTGGGGTGAGGCTGCCCTGGGGCGCAGTGGGCTACGAGCCAGAGGAGGAGGGGCACGATGGGAAACAGCATCACGGCATCTCTGTACACCAGGACCGGCGAGGCAGCCAGACCGCTGCCTCTCTGTAACCCCTTCTTCAGCATCTTGAGTCAGATGTTGTGTAGACGGTACAGAAATGGAGGCCCGCACTGTACTGCACCTGGGAGTGCTCTTGATGCAAGCCCACCTTAGCACTCCTGACCTCCCTCAGTGTTTCTCCCCAGAAAGTCAGAGCAGTTCCCTGCTTTTCAGTTTCTTTCAGCCCCAAATAACAGTCTCTGTCTGGCTAGATGGAGACAAGGAAATTGGAGGTGCGGATTGGATGCTGGGCGCAGCCTCGGAAAAGGAGGAGTTTGTGGACCTGGGCTGGAGGCCCCTGACTGAAGCCACAGCCTTCTGCCCATCCAGCTCTGCTGGGGTCGCTCCTCTGCTCCTTGCTCACCAAGAGATTTCCATTTCATCTTCTGGCGATCAGGTTTCGTGTAGTGGGCGTCCCCCTGTGAGTTCAGCATCTCCGGCCTGCATTGCTTTAAGGGGTCTGTGGGGAACCATCCTGGGGCTCACAAAGCAGGTAGAGCCACAGGCAATGATCCTGTGGGTATGGACAGTCCCAAGGTGCTGTGGCCTCGCTAAGCCCTGCTGTCCCCTGGTGTCATTTACATAGCTAGGGATGAGCAGGAGAATGGGGAACACACTGACTGAAATAAAAGTGTTCAAAGGGAAGAAATCCTATGCAGTGTGAAGGCTGTGTGGTGGTTGGCTGGTTGCCTTTGTTCCGCATGACTTTCGTGTCGTTCTGAGCGAGGCAGTGCCTGGCCTCCTGGGGAGACTGCTGTGAAAAGCAGCGCTTCATGGGTGCTGCAGGTCGATACTTATTTTGAGAAGCGGCCTCGCAGACTCTGCATTGGAGGTCGGACAGGGAGCCCACTCATCCTCGTCCTTGGAATACACGTAGATGGGGCGGTGGCGGAACAGAATCAGAGACCCTCTTTGTCCTCCATTCTGGACAGTGGCCCTTTCTCTCTTCTCCCCACCCGCCACTCTCTTTCTCTCCTTTTCTCTGCTTATCTTTGGCCCAGAAAGTCTTGCCTTTGTGTCTTTCCGTCACACTTGGGTTTGCTCGGGTCCTTGGTCCCCACAGTGAGAATGCTGTTGTTGGCGGTGGTGCTCACCCACAGGGATGAAGTGTCGTAGACAGAGGCTGAAGACGGGTCTCAGAGGGCTTCGTTTTATTTTATTTTTTATTTTTTTTTGTTTTTGTGGTACTGGGGATCGAACTTGGAACCTTGCACTTGCGAGGCAGGTGGCGGAACCACTGAGCTAAATCCCTGGGAGGGCTTCGTTTTAGAATCACCTGGGTATCACTTAAAACTCTGGACGCCCGGGTCCCACACATACTAATGTAGAATGTCTAGGGGTGTGAGCCACACAGCCTTTGGGCTTCAGAGATGCCCCAGTGATCCTAGTAAACAGCGAGAGTCGGGAAAGTCCTGTAAGGCAGAGGGATCATGGTGACTCTGTCTTGCATCTCCGAGGCACCAGAAAGAGCATCAGATGCACAATCAGTCACTGTCATCGACCATCCCGGTGCTCTTGGCAGGCTATTTACCTCCTTTGCACCTCGGTTTCCACCTCTGTAACATGGCTCAGGAATAATACTTGTCTTACAGGGTCACCTCAACCAAAAAAGTGGTATGTGCAAGTCTTTTGGAATTGTGCAGTGCTATAGAAATGCTTGTTATTGATGGAAATTATTCTCGTATAGATAGACGTTCCTCTCCTAGGTGGCTTGGCAAGGCAGTTGGGGTGACTGTGTGGCATTCATCCTTTCATCACCAGCGACAAACCTGATGATTATTCAGGACACTTATTTCTCCTGTTTGATAAAGGAGAGGGGTCACGAGAGGAGGTCTGGCCAGCTTTAAAAACCACCCAGCAGCTAGAGCCCCAGAACCCCACTGTCTCCAGCTCCAGGGACCGGTCCCTGGCTCCTGGGTAGCAGCTCATCCCTGAGGACACAGGGCCTTGCTGAGGAGGAAGGGACATCAGCAAACATTGCTCCCTCTTCGGTCTGCTTAGTTGGATCCTGTGTATGTCAGAGTGAATGAAACAAGGCAGAGCTGCCCAGAAGATGGCTGCCAACCCCCCAGGGAAGGGCGAGGAGATGCCACGCCTATCAGGGCCCACTTGTTCTTCACTGCATGCGCGTGTGTGTGTGTGTGTGTGAGTGTGTGTGAGTGTGGTGTGGGGGGATGAACATCATCTCGGGGTCACACCAAAGCATTTCCCCTGGCTTCTCCTCAGGGACTTGAAGTTGGATGGAGGGAGACAATCAACAGGCGCCATGAGCTTGAAAGAGATCATTGGTCTGGAAGGTGTGGAGCTGGGAGCTGATGGGAAGGTAAGGCTGCAGGCTTTCCATCCCGGGTTCACACAGACACCACAGTTGTCCAGAGGCAGAGGCAGTGAGACCGACCACCTGCCTCCCTTGTGAAGCGGGAAGTAAGCCTGGGGCAGACAGGCGTGTGATGCCAGCCCACCCAGCTGTGCTGGGGTGCAGGAGAAACCCACCCAGCCAGTGAAGCAGTAGCAGCAAGGTGGGGCTCCCTGGGCATGCGCCCGTCTCCCCGTACTGCTTACAGCTGTGTGACACATTCGAGTACTTCACACACGCATACACATATCCACGCAGGTACCAGGTAGAGTGCTGGTTTGAACATCTGTTAACTGGTGGTGTCGGCAAGACACACTGCAGCTGCTGGAAAAGAGTTTGGTTTCTTATGGTCCCGAGAAGCCTGCAGTCCCTCAGCCTGCCACGGTGGCCACTCACATTCCGCCCCTCCGAGGTGCAGCGAGCTGCTGGGTGGCAGACATTCTCCATCAACCCACCAAGCCTGTTTCTCTGGGGACACTGTCCAGCACAGGCTGCTGGGCAGCGAGTGACTGTCACCCTCCTCAGCCCTGGGCGGCTGGTCGCCTCTGTGCATGAGTGGCAGCGTCCCAGGGCTTGGGGTGTAGGTAGGGTGCACATGAGGCGCTTCCCCAGGCGGGTGAAAGAAATGCACTCGCTCCATCCTTCTTCCCAAAGGGTGGGTGCTCACCCAGGACCGAGGGGGCATGGAGTCGAGCATCATGAACAGCCTCTGCCAGAGGAGCGGAATCAGCCCTTGTCAGAGACTCTGGGATCCTGATGTGTTCTGGAATTCTGCATTTGGTGGTTTATAAAAAGCAACACAGGATGTGTCTGGCATATAGCAAATTCTGAGGTCTTGCCTTGCCCACCATGTTAATAGTTCTACCACCTAACAGAAACAGTTAAAACTATACATCAAGCCTGTTCAAGTGGGATTTGGGCACAGATTTGGCATAAGCAGGGGCCAAAATATTTTTCATGTTTCAGATCACACATTTTAAAAAATAGACCTGAACTTGGGGTTGCAACAAAGCTCGGTCAAAATGCAAGCCCAGCATTGTCTGGAAGCAGTCACCGGTTTGGTTTGTTTTTTATCTTCATCTTTTAGACGGTTTCTTATACCCAGTTTCTGTTACCCACAAATGCCTTCGGAGCCCGGAGAAATACCATAGACTCCACCTCCTCTTTCTCCCAGTTCCATAACCTGAGCCACCGCAGCCTCTCCATCGGCCGGGCCAGCAGCACCCAGGGCAGCCTGGACATAGGTAACTGCGCCCGGCGGGGTCTGGGAAGCTCCAGGTGGGAGGTGCTGGCTTTATTGGGCCTCACTCTGCACGGAACGGAGCACAGGAGTCTGTGGGCAAAGGGACTTTGTGGAAGCTTGATCTCAGGCTGTGCAGTTCACAGCCAGGTCACAGGTGACCTCTCTGTTAGGTACCTCAGCTGCCGAGCCAGCAGGGTCCCGCCGAGGCTGCCTGCACCAGGCAGAGGGAACTGGGTTTCCCAGCTCCTCGCTTGCCATTCACAGTTATGTCCCACATGGTCAGACTGCTTGACTTTGGCTCCCTCCCCCCAGACAGTTGGGCCCTGAAGCGCAGGATCGGGCTGAGAATTTCCTCCGTGGTTATTATGGTGGACACGCTCAGTGGCCACCAAAGGAACATTAGCAGACCCGGCTACGCCCACCCAGGCCTTTGTAAGCATTGGCACAAGGGCGAAAATTAAAAGGCTGGGCTCCAACATGAGATCCTCCTGCCTGAGCCTCCCAGAGTATTGAGATTACAGGTATGTGTCACCATGCCTACCTTATTTTGCCATCTTTGTAAGAATTGGCACAAGGGCAAAAACTCTAGGGGGCACCATTATTCCTACTGTCAGAAGGGATTCCCAGGGAATGGGAACTTCTGTGTCACCCCGCCTCTGTCCTAGTGTCCGGCCACCCGTGGTCATTCTCGGCTCCGTGCATTGGTGACTGCCCTGGCTGGAGGTCATCCACACACGGCTTGGCCTCCTGGATGCATTCGCCCAAGTCGTCCCTGAGGCTTGAGTTACAAAACTTGGTCTGAAAATCTAGACGATGAGCGTTGGTGGGGCCACATTCCACCCCGGGTGAAGTGTGGGCTCTCCCACTTTGGGGAGACTGATATGTGATCTTGTGAAATAGAAGAAAGCATCAGAATGGTGAGAATTTGTTGGATCCTTTGCGGGGTGGAACCGCATGGAGACAGGGCTGTCAGCTTCCCCAGCCCCGCGCCGGAGGCCCGCCGGCTTTCGGGAGCCGCGCTTGGTGTTCTCCAGCTGCCTCTGCCTCAGACTCAGAGGACCCGGTTGCCTCACGCCGTTCTCGTGTTCTCCCCAGGTAGTGACCTGGGGGAATCCATGGACTATGACCCCAATCTCCTGGACGACCCTCAGTGGCCTTGCGGCAAGCACAAGCGAGTTCTGATCTTCCCTTCGTACATGGTGAGTAGCCACAGAGGGTTGGGTGCTTCGCTCTCCCTGCAGCCTCCTCCAAGGGTGGCTCGCTCGGGGGACTGCACCCCAGGGGTGACTCATGGGGACCTGGGATTCTGCTGGTCGTGCCTGCAGATGCCACTCTTAGGGTGTGAGAACTCCCAGCCTAGGCTGGGGTCCTTCACCTCTGAGGGGTGTCCCAGTTCACAGACCCCACTGGGGCTGCCCCGGCTCGTGCCTAGCAACACCATGTACTAGTCAGCTCTGATTGGGTCTCCATGGAGACTTCAGCCTCCACGTGCACTGGGCGGGGATGACGGGACTATCTCTGGGGATGGGTGTCCTACTTTCCTTGCTGTTCTTCATAGGCTCTTGCTGTTTTTCCCTTTGTGTAATTTTGGTTTCTGCTCTTGGGTGACCACCAGTGAGAGCTGCTGCTTCTCCCGACACTGGGGTGGGGAGTCCCCGCCAGGGTCCCACATCCTGTCTTTGGGCAGACAGACCTGTCCTGATTCTGGGCCAACCAGAGCGCTGGCAGCAGCAGTGGGAGGGGAGGACCAGGCTGGCAGGTAAAGCACGCAGCATCAGCCCAGAAAGCCCCCTCTTCTGCTCCTCTGTAGGTTCCTTCTCTCCCGCACTGTCCCCAGGTCTCAGCACTGAGCTGGAAGGTCCCACGCGGTGAGGACTGTAGATACCACAGTGAAAACCAGCCCCGCCTACTGAGAAGATACCAGATCTGGGGCCCGGGATTTAGCTCAGTGGCACCGTGCTTGCCTCATAAGTGCAAGGTCCTGAGTTCGATCCCCAGTACTGGGGGAAAAAAAGACACCAGATCCGCACTCACCAGTGTAACTGTTGTCCAAGAGAGGCCAGGCAGCTCCCAGGCCCCTGCTGCTGGCTTTCTGCATGTGTCCTCTCATCACTTGGCAGAGTTCAGAGGTCACTGTGATTCACCACACTGAGTCCAAATGAACTCCCAGAGGCAGTTATTACAGAATGACCCTGCTCCTCTCTCCCCCACTCATCCCAAAGCTCCTAACCCAGAGAGCTACACCACAGCTATGCAGAGTTTCTCTCTCCACTCCGTGACCTGTGCATTTGAAAACGGCTCATCCATCTTCCTCAGGGGCTAACACCTAGTAAGTGCTCAGTAAACAAACAGAACCACTGCCCTACGACTCAGGAGGGTGCACCGGAGAGGTTTTTCCTTGACTGAAAATAAGAATTCTTTTGCAGTTCACTGCTTTATAAAAGTTCACTTTGTTAATTAAGCAACTTGGGCAAGAAACTGTGGCTCAAAGTCTGAGTGAGGCTCTCACCGTTGAGGCTGAGACCACAACTCCCCTCTGAGGGCCCTGTCCCTGCTGGCTACCTCTGACTGCTGACCCGAGGGCAGGGCGTGAGGACAGCTCTGCAGACCAGCAGGGTCACCGTGTGTAGGTGACCAGGTGACGCGAACGTGCTCTGTTGTGGCTGATGGTGGGGTTTGGTGGGAGCTCCTAGTGACAGGTCACATTTGGTGACAACACTAACCTCTCCTTTTACAAGCCTGGTGTCTGTCAGGTGGGTGCCCGACCCGATTGCTGTCTTTTTCTTTAAGTGATGTCACAGTGAACTTTAAGGTTCTGGGCTAGAGCATGTGTGTGCATGCGCATGTGCATGCTCAGATAATTTTTGCTCCATGGCCAGTGTGCTAGATGGCTTGCCAAGTCAGTATACCTGTCCTGCCCTCCTCGTTTTTATGGATCATTTTTCATTCCTCACGTTGAGTTGGCAGTCTGTGCTTCCTGGAAGGGTCCGTGTCTTAGCGAAATAGGCTGTGGGAATTGCATCTTGTTGGTCAGATCTGTGACACCCGTCTCCTGTTCTGGCCGCAGCCATCATTATGTTGATCAAGGGCAGGTATAACTTTGGGAGCTACTGTCTAAGCTCCTGCCTGTGTGTGTGTGTGTGTGTGTGTGTGTGTGTTACAGAGTGCCTCAGCCCTGCTCCCTAGAGAGAAGCAGGCATGGATTGGAGGGCGGTTTCTTGGTCGTTTGTTCTGATCTTACAGGAACAAGAGTGTGAGTGTTTTGTGTTTGCCTTATTTTTGTGTTAATGATTACAGAATTTGCACCTGGCTGCGCCTTTCCTTCTCCAGTGGACAGTGAACCAACCACAAACCCCATTCTCACTGATCTCAGTGAGTAGGGAAGGCAGACAGCCAACAGCAGATAAGTCACTGGAGCCATGCAGAAAGCTGTCTTGGAAGAGTGATAGGTGACAGGGAGAATCCAGGGTGGGTTCTCCACACGAGGAGACCATGATGTGTCAGGGAGGGTGATGAAGTGTAAAATGGCCCTTTCCTCTGGTGTACACACAGGCCCTGGGCTCGGGGAGCTGCACATGCAATGGGCCCAGGACTCCCAAAGTCATCCCATAGCAACAAGAGCTCGAGGGTCCCTGGATCCATGCTGCAGGCCCCTGGGGTGCATTCAGCTACTGGGTTGGTGTGCCGAGCTCACTTTCCATCATCCAAGACAGGCTAATGTCAGGCCCATGAGGCCAACTCTGGCTCACTCTGCCCAGGCCTTCCTGCAGCCGCCTTTGCCTGCAGGTGAGAACAGACCCTGGGGCCACTCGGCCTCAGGGTCCTACTGTCCTCCAGCCTCCTCAAGCCCCAGGGACGTCCCCGAGCTGTCACCCGGTGTTTAGGGTTGCCCTGTCTGCACAGAGTTTCAGTCTCTGCAGAGTCAGACAACCCTCAGAGCAATGAGCTAAACCTTCCACCTCTCAAATCCCACAGCAGCCATATGCAGTGGAATTTATACACAATCACTGCACCCATTAAAGTCCACAGCCCCATGAGTTCTCTAAGTGCCCTTCCAGTCCATGTAGGATGTTTCTGTCCCCTTAGAAAGTCCCCCCGCGGGCTGGGGATTTAGCTCAGTGGTGCCACCACCTGCCCCACAAGCACAAGGTCCCGAGTTCGATCCCCGGTACCAAAAACAAAAAAAGCTAAAGTCCCCTCCCCTGTGGCAGCTAACTTCTGACTCCATATTTAGTTTTACCCATTCTGGAATTTCATGCAAATGAGGTCATAGAGTGTGCACTATTTTTGGGGGGTCTTCCACACACCTTAATGTCGGTGAGATTCACCTATGTGCGTGTATTGGTATTTTCCTCCTGTTTTGGAGTGGTATTGGATCCATACAATCTCTCCACTCTCCTGTTGATAAACATTTAGTGTTTCCATGCAGGGATATTAGGAAAACTGCTAACTTATACAAGTCTTTTTATGGGTACCTGTTTTCATTTTTCTTGGACGAATTCCCCAGGGGCAGATCGTAGCCAGATAGCAGCCATCCAGGGTGTTGTGGGATGTGTATTTCCTGGGTACTTTTTCTAAGAGCAATGTGAAAAGGCCTCTCATCCCCACACAGAGGGCATGCCTGGGGGGAGGGTCCAAGGCCTGTCATCTGCAGCGTGGAAGTGGCCCCCTTAGAGAGGGGCCTCGCACTCTGAACCTTGATCCATGCAGGTCATTCCTGTTATTGTCCACTGTGAAAGGGCAAAGGTGAAAGGTTGGACTTGAAAGAGAAAATCCCTGGGGCCAGGTGTGGACAGCAGGTTGCAGCTGCCCGGGGTCCAGCCCTTGGGTGCCTGGAAGGTGACCATGGTGGCAGTCCTGTGTTGAGCACCTGCTACATGCAGGTTCTTGCAGGGCCTCATCCGGGGGCAGTGCAGGCGGGCGGGGGCCCTGAGTCACCACCGGATGCTTCCAGCCTGGTGTATAATTAGAGCCTCACTGGAGACCGGCTATTTATCATTGGAACCTGGCCGTTCACGGTGGTAGTGGTTTTCATTGTTCTTCTCCCCCTTTATGGGTGTGGAAAGCAATTAAGAGGAGAAGGCAAGGGAGAGAGCTGAGGTAATGCCAGCAGAGCTAACCCTGTTCCCTTGGATCTCTGGATCCTTTTTTTTCGAAGGACAAAATCCCTCTCTTTCTGCTCAGACATCAGAGAGGAACCGGGGTGTACCCTGTATGGTACCAGTAGGGATGTACGTCACCGGGACTGCTGGGTGGGTGGTGGCTGTGACAAAGTGCCTCTCCTTGAATTCACTTCGTAGTGGAACACAGGGCCCTGCGATCCCTGGTGTGTGGGAGTCACCCTTTGAACTGGGTTTTTCAGCAGTGTGAGCTGCTGAGGAGTGGCAACTAAGACTTTCTGGTGTCTCTATTGGTTTGTTTTCGCTGTCCCAGTGGCTCCAACAGTTTCCTGCCTGCAGGGTCCCCCCCTTTGCAAGGTCCCTTCCAGGCCCCCGGTTTCACCTGCCTCCTCTACTCCCTTGGGAGGCCTGGGCCCCTTTAAGGCCAGTGACAGCACGTGACAGAAGCATGGCTGGGGCTGGGAAGGCTTCTGTGGAAATCTGGGCCGTGGACGCAGTGGAAGACCTGGACTGTGTAGGCCCGCCACCGCTAGGTATGAGCGTTGAATTAAAATGCCTCAAGCCTGGCATGGCAGAGCACACCTGTGACCTAAGCACTCAGGAGGATCACTGCAAGTTCACAGCCAGCCAGGCTACATATCGAGACCTTGTCTCAAATATCATAAGAAAACAGCCTCAGATTCCTTACTGAGCTGGCGTGGTGGTGGCAGGGGATAGGGTATTTTTTGGAAACTGTGTTGTTAGATACAATCTGCATCCTGCACAGTTCACCTCTTCAGTGTGCAGTGCATTGGTTTATATATTCATAAAGTTACATGGCTGTAACCATAATCCATTTCAGAACATTTGCATCATCCCCCAAAGAAGCCCCTTCCCCTTTGAGCTGTCCTCTGAATCATGTACTGCCCCAGGCCCCAGTGTCCTCTCTGGATTTGCCTGTTCTCTATCAGTGGAGTCATACAGGATGTGCCTTCGAGTCTGGTTTGTTTCACGTAGCCTTACATTTCAAGGTTCATCCATGTTGTCACATGTATCAATATTGTAGTTTTTAATCATTTTTTTCCTGTAAAAAGTCCCAATATGTACAGCAGCATCTGCTCCCTTTCTGTGTATTCTTGGGGCGGGGCCGACCAATTTGTGACCTTTTTTTGAGGCAGGGTCTACCCCAGGCTGGCCTTGAACTCATAGCAATCCTGGCTTAGCCTCCTGAGTGCTGGGATTTCAGGTATGCACCACTATTCCCTGTTCAGGTCATGATTTTGAATAAGAGATGCCCCGTGGCCACTGTTGAAGAAACACACACGTAAAAGAACATCCAAAACCACCTGGGGTGTTCGAAGACACTACACATCTACCCAGTGGCACTACCCAGCAGTTCTGGAGCAGTGGAGGAGCAGCCAGCAAATCCCTGGCCCTGAACTCACCTTGCACTGCCTGAAAAGCAAAAACCTAAACCACTTCACATCAGTAAGGGAAACTCAAAGCTCCTCCCCCAAGGGGAAGGAGGGGGAGTCAATCCAGGGAACCCGAGGGGTAGAAATTGCTGCACATACAGCCCCAGGCTGTGTGGGCCTGCTCATTCCCATGGCTTCCCTGTCCTCCCCAGGAATAGGGCAACATGTGCAGGACAGCTGAGACGCCATCTGTTGATGGTTAGATCGATTTCGTTCAGGTCTGCCCTGTGTAATGACCTGCACATGCGCAGGACCTCTGCTTTCCCAGGGCCCAGCTGAGCTGGAAGTGCTGGTGCCGGTGGATGAGTAGAGGGGAAGCAGAGGAGCCCTGATTCTGCAGGCTTCAGGGGTGGAAGGAGCTCCCCAGATCATAACCTGGTCTTCCTGCCTTTCTCAGGCACAGTGGGGAAACTGAGGCATGGGGAGGCTGCATGCTTCCCCATCTCCAGCCCCTGAAGAGCCCTGGAACGTTCCTGCCCAGGGTGGGGGTCTCTCACCCCGAGGGCAGTGCCATTCTCCAGCGAGCTCGCCTATTCAGATTCCTGTGGAGAGGGGCAGAGATGGCCAGGCCCTACCAGGCTGGTAGACTGTGCCCATCAGCTCAGTGGGCCTCCACCCTCTCCTGCCCTGCCCTACATAGCCTTCCCTCCCTCCACAGTGCCGCAGCGGGTGCCTTGAGCCAGGCTGGGGCCCACATTCAGTCCCTTGGAGGCCCCTCTCTGCTCACCCCAAGTTAAGGCCAGACTTGTTTTTATAAAGAGCACAGGTTGTCCAATGTCTGCACCATAGACGAGGTAGACTCTTCTGGCAAGGCAATTAAGCTGTGGCCTTTTCCTGTTGGAGGGGTTCGGGGTGCCCCCCAGCCCTGTTCCTTCCCAACTCCGCTTCCTGTCTCCTGTGCGGCACGCTGGGCAGTGGACAGGGCTGCTTTGCAAACTGGATCTCTGGACATTCGGGGCTTGGGATGGCCTCCTGCTCCCAGCCGACCTTTCCCTCTTCCTCTTTATGCAGCTATGCCAGGCAGCTGCGAGAAAGTGCATTCAAGTGACCTCTCCCTCTCTGTCTCTGCAAAATGCAAGCGCTGCAGGTGGGGCTGATGTCCATCACTCTCGCAGCCCAGCCCACTGTCACCGCCACAGCTGGGCCAGGAAGGGCCCTTCATCTGGTGAATGCCAGGGCCTGGAATCAGGTGACAGTGACCACAGCCTGTGTCCTGAGGCCCTTGGTTTCTAGTAACCCGCTGTGGCAAAGCCTGGGCAGTGCGAGTTTGCATAACTCACACAATTAGCTCAGTAGGTGGACTTGGCAGGACCCACATTTGGACCTCCTGAGTTCATGAGAGAACATCGGCCCCAAGTTTAATTTACTCTCTGCCAAGCCCAAAAGAGTGGATGGCAGGGGCTGCTATGCCATGCCTGCAGTGCAGCCTCCTGGGACCAAGTCCCCAGCTCAGCACTGTCCATAGAGAAGTTCTCAGATGCCCGGGAGGTGCACCTTCTAAGGGGAACCACAGGGCTCCCTTGAGGCAGACAGGAACATGCCAAGGAACTTGGCCTGCCATCCTCCCAAGTGTTTCACAGAGTGGGGACATCATCACTGCCACCTGTGGGTAGGGGTGACCCATCTAGTACCAGGATCTGGGCCACGTGCACCCTCGGGCATTGTGAGGTCTTGGCTGAGCAGAGGTCCAGGGCCAGGTTGTCACCTGGAGCCACCCACTAGTGTCCCAGTGGAATGTCACGTGCAGCTGAGGGTGAGCAGGACATGGATGGCCCTGCTGATCAGGTGTCCCAGGGCCCAGCAGCAGGCAGGTGGTGGAGAAGCTAAAGGAGGAAGCTGAGCCCCAAGGGCTTAAGCACTTTGCCCGAATACCACTTGGCAGAGTTGGGTTTAAACCCAGGCTCCGCTCCCAAGTCTGTCCTTCCCCTGAGAACCACAGCTCAGAGAAGCAGGGACAAGGGTGAGGCTGAAGAGAGAGCCATCACAGCAGGCAGAAGAGGCAGGGAGAGGAGATGCCCGCCAAGGCCAGCTGGGGCTGCCGAGGGCTGAGGTAGGAGCAAGCCACTGCTGGGGGCAGAGCTGTGTCCCCAAAACAGATGTCCTCACCCCCAGGACCTTAGACCGCATCCCTGTTCCTATGAGTTAGGGTGTGGTCAGACTCGCCAATGTGATTGTGTCCATGTAGGAAGGCAGATACCCAGGGACAGATAAACGGAGTCCCCTTGTGAAGGCAGAGCTCGGAGCAAAGCACCCACGAGCTTAGAACAATTTCCAGGAACTCAGAAAAGCAAGGAAGGTTTCTACCCAGAGACAAAGCAATAGATTCTATTGCAGAGGAGCAGAGTCCGGTGACTCGTGGGTCCCAGGCTTCCGGCCCTGGCACTGGGAGGTGAGGCAGCTTGTCACAGCAGCCCCAGGAAGCTGATACAGTCACTGCCAGGACGGAGCACCTGGGCTGACGAGGATTACACTGCCTCCAAGTCCAACCTGCCTCACTCCAAAATGGACTTAAGCAGACAGACTGGGGGGACCATTCTCAGGCTCCTTCCCCGGTGGTGTGGACGTAACAGGCTTACAGCAGTCCAAGGTCACAGCTCCCTGTCCTGGATGCCCTTGAACTTGAGCTTCCTAAGGTGGCCACTGCCTGGGCTGCTGGTCCCTTTCTCTGGACTCCTCCTCTCTGCTGTGCCCTTGAGGACTTCCAGCCACTTGGAGGCCACGGAACGTGGGGCCATCCAGAGAGGCTGCCAGCCCAGTGAGACATGGTTGCTGCCTCTCTGAAGATGGCATGGGGTGCAGAAGGGGGTGGAACTGGTCCAAGAAACAGCTGTTTCTGGGCTTTGACAGAAGGCTGAGGTTTGCAGAGATCACCCCTCAAATGTATTCTATCTAACTTAGAAAAGACTCAAAGTAGCAAGGTGAAGGCCAAACAGATGCATGAATAACATGTCAGGCTGGCCTGGGCCTCCAGCTCAGAGCCATCACAAGGGCCCATCCTGTCTCTGGTAACAGAAAAGCAGGGCAGGGCAGCGGTGGTGCAGAATGTCGCTTGGCCCTGTCGGCGGCACATCTGTGAACCTGGGCGTTGTCATCCTGGCAGCTCCCACGTAGACCATACTTGCTGGGGGCTGAGTGCTGGGTAGGCCCAGGACCTCAGGGGATCAGCTGACTGGCCCTTGCTGCCCCGGGATTCAGCCTGGAAATAAATACCCACTTCCACTCATCTCACTGTCAGGAAAAGCAGGCCCTGGACAGGTCAGGATGTGAGTGTCAGAGCCTGTGGAACAAGACAAGGTCTTCAGGGAGTGAATGGCATGGTGCCTTCAGGTGGTCAGAACCTGGCCCGGAAGTGAGAGCCAGTCACAGTGGAAGCAAAGGTCATTGTAATACACAGTGCCTGTACGCATCGGTTACAGTTGGGGTGCAGAGCCCCGCACACACTGCACCCTAGTTGGTTTCAGAAGAAGGGGGCTTATTACAGAGTTGGTACTAAATGGCTTAGAAAATCCCTGGGATGGCTGGATGGCCCCCAGTCTCCTGCAGAGCCCCACTCCTCCACATCAGGACACAGGCTCATGACAGTAGCCCGTGTTGTTGAACACATGCTGTATGCCAGTTACTGTACGGAGCATGTCCGGCAGCTCTCAGAGCAACTGCAGCACCAGGAAGCTATGAGGGGTCCAGTGTGGGCTGAACCCAGATCCGTGGGAGTCCCAATTCCACGCCCTGAGCACTGCATTATGTACGAGACAACAGCTAGAAACACAGCAACTGCGAGGGCTTCCCTCCCTCTCTTTTGAGGTCCACGGGCCAGTTTTTCTACATGTTACCCCATCCTGCCAATAGTGGTGATTTCTTTTCCCTGTACCTCCAGAAGGCCATAGTTCTTGCAGGCACTGGATACCACTTGGGCATTGTTAGTACACGGGCCCTTATTTACAGAATGACTTGTCTCGCCCCCTGTTACAGACCACAGTAATCGACTATGTGAAGCCCTCAGATCTCAAGAAGGACATGAATGAGACCTTCAAGGAGAAGTTTCCTCACATTAAGTTAACACTCAGCAAAATAAGGAGGTATGGGCAGCTCCTGTCACCTTGAACTCTACCCTGCAGCCCCTTCCAAGCCGCTTGAGGCTCCTGCTTTGTAGGAGGGATCATTTCATGTTGCCTGCATGTAGCTCGTAAGTTCAGTAAGATTTGTTACAGAAACCCAGAGAGACTGGGCAGCACGCAGGTCTGCTATCTCTCGTGCAGGCAGAGCAGAGGAGAGTTGGCATCCAAGGGTCTGAGATAACCTCCCACAGTCACCTGCCCAGGGGACAGCGAGGCCCTGCCTTTAAGCAGTTACCAAAGCAGAGACAAACCCTGTTCCCACACAGCTGACAAGTCTGGCTTTGTGGTGACCCACATCTGCTGGCCACATAGTCAAGATGACCGACCTCACTGGGCCAGAGAGGACCTTGTGTTGTATCCATGACAGCAGAATTTGTGTGTGTGTAGTAGGAGTTAGGTTGTACACTCACATGATGTTGGAATATGTGCCAATGTTTATACCAGCGTGTACTCTAATACAGATGTGATTCTGGCATGTTCCAAGCCACAGAATCAGAAAAAACTTTGTTTTTAGGAAAAGTTGAATGTTCACACTCGCCATTTGCTTGGCGGTGTCCTACAGACGCCAGTGGTCTTGCTTAGGTGGACCTTTTTCTGCCACAGTTCATGAACACAGCTGGTGTCTGCTATAGGTCAGACCAAGTACCTGATTTATTTCTAGAGTGGTCTCTGGAATGAGCAGAGTGCCCACGTGGTGTCCCTCTTTGACTTTGGACAACCCCAACCCAAGTGTCCAAGGGAGACCCAGGCACCCCCTGTGTATAGTGGGGTCCTTGCAGGTCCCGTGTTCATTGGTTCATTGGTCCCTCCCCCTGCCTGGTCTGGTGCCTGTCATCCTGCATGTGGTGATTTTGGCAGCACTGCACCACTGGGTCTGGAGCAAGAATGAGAGTAAACATGGCCTACGCAGTGAGACCAACAGAGAAGGTTCTAGAACTTTTGACACTCATAGGGATTTACTCTTAACCTGCGTCACCCCTGGGAGTGAAACAAAAAGAGGCTTTCTAGATGGAGTCATTGTGTTGAGGTCCCCTGAAACTCTTAACTTCTAACAAGATACCCCACTGCTGCCCGTCTTTCTGTAGCCTGAAACGAGAGATGCGGAAGCTTGCCCAGGAGGACTGTGGCTTCGAGGAGCCCACGGTGGCCATGGCCTTTGTCTACTTTGAGAAGCTCGCCCTCAAGGGGAAGCTGAACAAGCAGAACCGGAAGCTGTGTGCTGGAGCGTGTATGCTGTTAGCAGCCAAGATCGGAAGTGACCTCAAAAAGCACGAAGTCAAGCATTTAATTGACGTAAGTGACCTGTGTCTTGCTGGCTGGAGGCAGACACACTCAGTCCTGGGTCTTTGCAGAAGGGCTCTGGAACTGACCACAGTGAGAAATGGAGATAAAGGCTGGGAAGTCGTCCTCCCTACCCAGGATGGCAGACGCCCCATCTTAGCCATCTTAGAGCAGAGGGGTGAGCCACTTGGACAAGACCAAGCTGAACAGCAAGGCCCCAAGATTTCACATGGTTAGTGCAGCGGCCCACCTGTCTCACTGCCTGGCTGTCCTTAGTGGCAAAGAAGAAAAGGCAGAAGGGAGGCGAATGTGGGTACCTACTGTATAAAAACAAGTACTCTGTAGGTCAGTGCTTCTGATTTTGGGAAATGCTGTAGCACACCATCCAGCTTACGCAGTAATCCGTGAATGTGGGTGGAGGTGATGGCTAGATGTCAGCCTAAGCTGCGACTCCCTGGGCTTGTGCAGTTGTCCCCACTTGTCACTTTTGCTTTCCCCTGGCTTCAGTGATCCGCAGTCAAGCACAGCCCAAAATATTACCTGGGACATTCCAGAAACAAGCAGTTCGTAAATTTTCAACCGTGTGCCATTCTGAGTAGCATGATGAAACCTGGTGCTCTCCTGCCCAGTCCCACCTGGGACATGACTCACCCTCTGTCCGGCGTCCCCACTGGCATACGCTCCTGACCGGCAGTCACTTAGCCATCTTGCTTCTCAGATTGGCTGCTGACCTCACCTTCGTCATTCCGTCACCTCACCCCACCACGCAGGCACTGTGTCATCTGCATCATCGCAGGAAGGGTGGGACAGACAGTAAGACATCGTGTGACAGACAGGACCCACACACCTTTCACTAGAGTACATGTTACAGTTCTATCGTGTTATTGTGGTTAATCTCTTACTGTGCCGAGTTTATAAATTCAACTTTACCATAGGTATGAAGTCTAGGAGCAACCATAGTAAATGTGCAGGATTTGGTACAATCTGTGGTTTGGGGCAAAGGCTGATACTGTTAATGCAGAATGTAACAATGCAGTAGCAATGAACCAAACAAGACCCACCCCAGTTACTGAGGGTAATCAGCAACCACCCTGCTTGTTAGATTTCTCTTTTTATTAAACCAAAAGCTGGGCTTAAGCAATAGCAGGAGGGACTGAAGTGTAAATCTTCATCCGGCCTGTTCAGCACTTCCGTGTGGTGGTTGTGGGTGATCTGTAGTTTCAGTCTAAGCCCAAATAACTTATCAGTGGAGTCACAGGTAAATTGCATATCAGGGTTGCAGTTTACCACACATTTGACCTTGGACAGTGATCTTGACTTCCCATCTGTAAGATGGAGATAAATGCGGCAGCAACCTTGTGAGAGTCGGAGGAGGACCAGTGAAGGCAGGATGCACAGCCAGTGTGGAGACCCGTGTGCTGGGAGTGCAGTTTGTCCTCCAACACTCACGCTGCAGTGCGATTCCCACCACTGCAGCTGTAAGAGGTGACTGGGTCGGTAGGAAGGATCGGCCCTGTCTCTTGGGAGATGCGTTCTCCCAGTCTCCGAGCCTGAGCAGTCACTAGGGAGTAGGCATTACAGAGCAAGGCTGCTCGCCCTTTGCTTCCCACCATGCAGTGATGCAGCACGAGGCCCTCACCAGATGCGGCCCCTGCCTTGGACCTCACCACCTCTGGAAGCTCTGTTCTTCCCAGCCCGCCCATCACAGGTATTTTGCTAGAGCAACAAAAACCAGATGAGCCAGTGAGTTTTCCTAAAAACACGCACTGGCTAATGGCTACAGGAGCTGCACTTGGAGAAATCCAACTAAAATGTTTTTTGTGTCTTCTTGAATTTTATTGCAGAAACTGGAAGAGAAGTTCCGGCTGAACCGGCGAGAACTGATTGCCTTTGAGTTCCCAGTGTTAGTGGCCTTGGAATTTGCACTCCACTTGCCAGAGCATGAAGTCATGCCGCACTACAGACGGCTGATCCAGAGCTCCTAGCACAGGCCCCGGGAGCTCAGGGGAGCAGCGCTGACTCCCAGAAACACAGACATGGAGCTCCAGGAACCAACCTTCCTCGAAGCGTGCTCGCATGCGGACGCAGCACTGGGAAGCTACGAGTTGGCTGCTGCTTGGAGCCAGTGAAGAGAAGATGTGTGCTGAGGAGGCCCCTGCTCCCCACCAGCGAGGACACTCAGCTGCCTGACCCGCTTCTCCCGGGCACATTCAGAGCTGGCCCTCGTGGCCCGGCCCCTTCCCTACAGACTTCTTGCCGTGGAGCACAGGCTGCTAGAGCAGATGAGCAAACTGCAGGATTGGGGAAGGCTTTGAAAAGACTCCCCTCCCCGCCGTGTCAAAAGCACGTGCCAATCTATTTTTGTATCAACCGTTGGAAGTGCACTTTCCCCGGGCAGGTGGTCCTGAGCATCTGTGTGCACATGTCTGCGCTCCCCTGTCACCTTCAGAGCCAACATTGGCTGTTCTTTCCCAGTGGTTTCTGGACAACAGCTGCTCGGTTCCACATCGACAGCCTCTGCCCTTAGGAGGTGACATTGTTTTTGTCACCGCTCATGCCACCAGCTGGACAGACAAGCCTCAGTGTTGGACGGGTCGTGTGGAAGGACGTGCAGTGTGAAACGCTGAGTACCTTCCCGCTGTCACACACTGCGTGTACCTGCTTAGCCTGCACTGTCTCCCACTGTGAGACTCGGGGCCACACCCCACAGCATGTCCCTGTGCTCTATGTTAGAGTGCATCATAAGCACATTGAGTGTGCTGGGTCTACAGAAGTGTTTTATAAAAACCCACATAAGGGTGAGATGTGAGATTGGTATTTGTGGCTTCTGCAGCTGGCACAAACTGCATTTTGAGCTGCAGTCCAGCTGATTACAGAGGCAGTGGCTCCTGGGACCGTGTACCTAGCATCTTAGTGCAGATTTTGGGTGACCTGTCCTGATCCTCTGGAATGACCCGTATTGAGGCCTTGTCACCTGCCACAAGACAGCAGTGTCGCCTGGCTGAAAAAAGCTTGTGGTCATGTAAAAAGAATTAAAATATTTTGTTTTATATATACATGTATGTGTGTATGTAGACTTGTCCCACCAGCCACCTTGTCCCTCCACAGCTAATTCCTGTGCCTCCGTCCCTGATCCAGAGCCTCTCACATCACCCAAAGAAAGGGGAGGATGTGGGAATGTGGGAAGCAAGCACATGTAGCTTTTGGTACCATAGTTCAAAAGAATCCCACAGTCCCACCAGATAGATTTTTTTTCTTGAAATAAGATCTCTGTTGCCCAGGCTGACACAACCCCTGGGCTCAAGCCATCCTCCTGCCTCAGCCTCCCATGTGGCTTGGACTACCATCGTGTACCACGGCACACAGCTCCTACAGGATGAGAAATTTAAACAGCAGCTGGTAAGGAGAACAAGGAGTCCTGGGCTTCCTCAGCCTTCGATTTCATGATGCTTAGTCCTAAATATTTCGCTAACAAATTTACTTGGCCAGAATCAGTTTTAAAACACAGATTTTGACTGGGGAAGAGGGAACATGATGAATGTGGTCTCCCTGGCTGATCAAAAGCTAGATCAACTACTGTTAAGGCACTAGTTTATGAAGCAAGTTGGGGAGCACAAAGTGTTGAAAGCATCTCCTGCTCTGTGAAATGCCCTTGACCTTCCCTCTGAGCTCCGTCACCTTGCACAATCTCGGGGCGTCCAGTGACAGCAGGGCAAGGACAGCCAGAGTCCTTCCTGGTGTCTTGAAACCCGGCTAATACTCTTGGACTTGGGGTGATTATATGGGTTTTGGCATCTGTGAGATACACTTAAGAAGTCAATGGTTCACTTTCTTTGGTTGGGTGCAGGTACTGGGGATTGAACTCCGGACCTTGTGCTTTGAGGCAGGTGCAGTGCCACTGAGCAAAATCCCCAGCCCTGGTCCATTTCCTTTTAGACACACGTTTTAATTGTGAGGGTTTTTGGTGCATGGATTTGGGGGTTGGGAGTTGTTTTAATTTGGGAGTGAGGGCCTCCACAAGAGGGCAGCCATGATGTCAAGATGTCTCCTCTTTCATGTCCATGACACCAGCATTCTAGAGCCAAAGCTGAGGAAGAGGGTGAGGATGCAGGTTGCTGGCAGAGCCGCCCCTGTGACAGTACATTCCAGACCCTTCCCTGACCTTGGCCTTTGGCAAGGAGCCCAGGAGGAAACCTGAGCCTGCAGGGCGAGAAAGTCATGCAGACTGGTTCCAGAAGAGTCTGAGGCTTTGACCTTTGACCTCTGACAGCAGCTCTGGACTCTTCTGAGCCTGGCTCCCTCCCAGGGCTGCCCTGAAGCTTCCCACACACCGATGGCCATGAGGGACCTCTGTGGCAGGCCTGGCTGTTTGGGAACAGATGGGAATCAAACAGGTCTAAAGATGGCACCAGCCTGGGCTGGGTGGGTCCCCAACTGCCATCGTACCTGCCCTGGGCCTAAGACCCTGCCAGCCAGCAATGTTTAGAAGCCACCACCTTTCTGCCTTTCCGCTATAAAACTTGTGTTAAAACAGGAAATCCATACCTATTGCAAATGCCGACTGTTTTCCTTGACGTTTTTCTTTTTCTAATCAAAAATCCCTCTGCCAGAATTTTTCTGTTGTCATTAGGTTCTGAAATCACTGTCCCACAAGTCTTGCCTTAGAATTGGGGAGCCAGGCAGGGGGATGAGGTTCCTTCCCCTCTTCACAATTCATTCCTGTCCCTCTTGAGCCCACAACAGTGAATAAAACTGTTCGGTGCTCCTGCCTCGGAGTTCTTTATCTCACAGACGTTTCCTGTTAGGACAGTGGGCCCTCTGCCCTGGCTGCCTCCCCAACTCACGAGAACCTGCGGCCTTCCTGTCCCCTTCCTGTCCCAAGAGCTGCACGTTGGGGGACAGACAGGCTGGGGAACAGAGCATCTGAGCCAGGCTACTCCAGTCTACTAGAAAGTCAGGAGGTTTCCTGCCAGCAAAGACATCCGAAGAGGGAAGGGTTTCTAGGGGGAGCGTCCCTGGGGCAGCCTGAGGTCACCTCCCTGGGACAGCTGTGTTAGGGAAGGCGCTGCCAGGTTGCAGCAGGTTCAGAGGAGTGCTGAGGGCCAAAGAAGGGAATAAAGACCAGGAGTAGGAATCTGGAGTCACATACCGGTTAACATTCACATCAACTTAAAAGGCAGCTTCCAGAAGTGCAGCGCAAGGCACAACTGAGTTTAAAAAAAAAAAATGAAGAGGCCACTGTGATGGTTTGGGGCTCTAATCATTCCACTTGGGAGGCTGAGACAGGAGGACTGCGAGTTCAAACTCAACCGGAGCAACCTAGTGAGACCCTGTCTTGAATACTCAAGTTTAAATTTCGGGGAGGGGGTGTGAGGTGGCCCCACCGAAGGCCATTCGGATTCCTAAGGGGACGCTGCCATAGCATCTGCATCCGCCAGGTGCAGAGCCCGCCTTACAGGAAGATGTGCTCACATGGCGAGTACTGTCCTGCCCACACGGCAAGTTCCACGTCTCCCTGTCTACCTCATCCTCTATCATCCTGCTGCCCAGCCAGAGTGGGCCGAGGGCGAGCACTGTCACCTAGGGACTGGTCACAGAATGCAGAGTCTGCATCTCACCTGGATCCCTGGTTTGTGTGCATGCCAGTTTGAGAGGCTGAGCTGGGTGTGGCGGTACATGGATGTACTCCCAGCACTTGGGAGGCTGAAGCAGGAGGATCGCTGTGAGTTTGCTACTACATAGTGAGATCAAGGACAGCCTACAATATACAGCAAGACCCTGC